CCTGCGGGTAACGTGACCCCCCCAGAGAAAATTTTCCGCTAGATTTAGTGGGGAATTTTTCCGCTAGATTTAGCGGGGGAATTTTTCCGCTAAATTTAGCAGGGAAATATTTCTGCTAGATTTAGCGGGGAAATTTTTCCGCTAGATTTAGTGGGGAATTTTTTCCGCTAGATTTAGCTGGGAAATTTTTCCGCCAAATTTAGCGCGGAAAAATTTTCCACTAAAGTTAACGGGGAAATTTTTCCGCTAGATTTAGCGGGGAAAATTTTCCGCTGGATTTAGCGGGGAAATTTACCCATAATGCACCGCGCGGTTACGCCGACGGCGACGGCGATGTCGCTCAAGCCGGGAACGGGCGCCTAAGAGCTGCGCTCTAAAACTGACTTATCGCCACTGTCCGCTCTAGACAACTATTCAATGTTTATGTGTCACAAAATAAGCTATCATATTTTTCGGACTATAGCCCACACCCGGTGTATAATCCGCAAAAGCAAATTTTGGTTGAAAAAAAAGTTTTTCTTAGATTGTTTGAACCCGGTGCATTGTCAGCACGTGGTGCCTAAATCGAGCGTAAAGGACTCTTCTACAGATCCCCCCTTGAGAGTGCCAGCTTTATAACTTCACAAGGAAGCTTTTAGCATGCATAAATTATTGTAAACATATTTTGTCATTCACAAAATCCGTCATGTCTCGTTATAATGAAGGATGTATAAAATAAAAATCCTTGTACACTACGCATTAGTGGATAGCCCGCACCCCGGACCAATGTCCGGAAATCGCGGTAATCTAAGCATCTGCGTTTCGACAGCCGCGGTTCAGATTTCGGGGCTCGTACAGAGAGGGCGAAGCAGTACTCTTAAGGCCTGTTCACACATGCAGCGGAGCGCCACAGGCACAGCGCTGACCTCGCGCTAAGCGCGTGCTGACAGAAGCGTTCACCAGCTTTGTATCGCACCGTGAAAACTGTTGCTCACAGCAGACGATAAGTAGCTGACGGCACGTGAGCAGCGCTACATCAGCGCTTCGCTGCATGTGAGAACCGGCCTTTATAATAGTGAAATAGATACTACATGCCCGCTCTCCAGTGGCATGCAGTGCTCTTGCACTATGGTGCCTGGAGCGCGTCTCCGACTGGTGTGTTTAGCGTCCTATGCCGCCCACACATCAAAAGTGGTCCCAAAGTGGCAACAAATGACGTCACAGAAGCCGGAGTGTCATGCTGTTGACTGTCGCGATCCTGGCGGTTGGTCGCAGAAATGTCGGCGAAAAGCGCGAGCGAACGCGAGTGTCGCTGTCGTCACGGCGTCCCAGGCGTCCCAACTCCCTGTTGCTTTAGCTTCCGTGGACTGTCGAAGTGAAGAGCGGCCTGCAGCAGAACAGGCGTCTGCCACATACACCACAGCTATTGGGACGCCTCCAGGTTCGCGACCGGCGACAACATGACACATGTATGACGTCATCAGGCGGAAACCGAGGGGCCAATATTTTGGACCCGGTAAACACACCAGTCGGAGACGCGTTCCAGGCACCGTACTTGCACTGCACGCCAAGGCTCGTAACTCTTTCTGCCTGCTGTGAAAGGCTCGATACCGGTGTTTCTCAGGGATTACGACTTTGTCAGACAGACCTAGGCGTATTGCAACTTTTATTCTATGCTTCAGGCATCCTGTAGCCTCCAAATTGCGAGTTTTAGGTTGGCTTCACTACAACGAGTCATGTGTGTTCCGCCGAGATGCCCAACCATCTAATACCACGCTATGTGTGCCTGGTTTGTCCCCTTCAACTTCAATAAAAAATATTATTCATTTCGTAGTACCTCTTTTTTTCTATCACTTGATCAAACAAATTTCTTAATTTTAAAGCTGTCGTAACCTCTGTGAATCCATAATTGTGAATTATTGTCACTTCGGCAGAGATGCTTTCACACTTTCGTTACATGGTTTCTAAACTCTGTCTCACACATCTTGTACAACGCTGGCAAGTCTACTGCCGCGAGCGCGTGGCTTTATCCTATACGTCTGAAATGCACGAAAGCACGTGCTAATAAACCAATAAATTAAGCCACGCGCTGGCGCTATCATCTTTATAGCGTTGTAAGCTATGCATGAAACGGAGTTGAGGGTGCAGCCGATAGAAACACTGTAGCAGCGGTTTTGTTTAATCGCTCATTTGTCATAAATCAATTTTTTTGATTTATCATCTGGAGCGGCTTCCGGCGCGAGTGCGGAGCGAGTGCCGAGTGCCAGCCTTTACGAGAAAAATTAGATGGAGCAGTCTTACACCGACCTTTATGTCGACTTTTTTTTTTCTTGTACTTTTTAAAACTACATTTGGATGATTTCTGCTGATTGATTGGATCCAGAGGCAACTGAGGAAGGGATCTGGAGGAGCATGGGTGGTCGCGACCTTTTCAATGAGACGCGATATTCGTCGTGAGCATTTTTGTTCACCTCACACAACAAAAACAAAAATCTTTACTGAATCTTTTCTTGTGTTACCGCTGCTGTGTGTTGCAAGTTAGAACTTATATAAGAGGCGGAAAAGAGAGAAAGAGAAAGAGGGGGGGTTACCATGACCGCGGGTTGCGCGCTTAAAATCAGGCTTAAAGGCTCCGGTAGTGCGCTACGCGGAACGCGGTAACAGTTTGCTAAAAGTCCCAATTGGCGCGCACCCCTTCCGATTGCATAAAGCGTGGAGGCTTGTCATATTACGTCTGTTGAGAAGTTACAGAGCGCGACACAGCTAGCACGAGCTTCATTAATGCGGTACGGCTTACCTGTATCTTTGTGCCGCAAGACCGGGAGGTATGAGAAAATAACTTTTGACGTCTGAATCTGCGGAGCGAGCGTTCTCTCCACGTGCTGCCGAGAACAAAACAAAACATAATTAGACCCTGTCATTCTTGGTCTCTCAACGAGCGCAGAAAGACGACAAAGATGAGCGGCAGTTCAATGGGTGTGACCTCGCAGGTGTTTCTGGAGCTGAGTCGGGGGGTGTGTTCTGGCCAAGACCTGCGCGTGGCCTGCCTGGACCCGCTGCAGGAAACGGAAGCCCTCAAGCAACTGCCGGACGCCGCCGGTGCTGCCAGCGCCGCTGGTGAGTGCACATCCCCTCTTGTTCGCTGTTGTCCTCCCGACGATCTTGAAAGGGGTCAGGGTTTGATATTCAGGAAAAGGGAGTATCTGGATCACTGAATACCCTGTCACTCTGTATCCAGAAAGCCCATTCGCCGAAATTGAGGCAAGTACGCTACCCAACAGATTTCCAGGCAAACATTTTCTCCTTCATACCGTTCATTGACCCACTGTGACAGGCGTACGTTTTAGGACACAGCAAGTCACGTGTCGCTCTCGAATCATTATTCTTGAAGATAGACAGCATTTACAACAGTTAAAAGTTCTCTGAGTTTAAAGAACTTAAAACCGACATCTGTCACCGTTACAGCCTAGACGTTTATACTGCACGGCTATGGTGCGACGTAAACGCAGCCAGGCACAAATATGGTCGATCGAATTACACCCGTGAACGGGCATCCAACAGTCACATAATATAGTATACTCATAGAAGTTGACAAGGGTGGAAATTCGGTATAGAAGCTCCGCCTCCAGCACGCGTTCGTTGCCTTCTGATTGGCTGCGCGTTCGAGCAAGCGTTTTCGAAGGCAGAAAGCTAGGCGGATCGTCTAATGCGTTCTTATCCTGTCACTGACTGTAACTTTCCTTTAGCCAGATTGATGAGGGAGATAGCTGAAAGGAGGCTGACAGATAGCGATGACGTGTGGCAGCATACGTTCGCGCGTAAAGTGCTTATTACGGTCGCGAAACAACGGCACAGCCTCGAAGTGATCACCGGACTAGGGATCAAACGACTCGCACTGCTATAGCAAACATGCCAAACGCACGTCGTTAGCAACCTTGCCTTAAGCCGCGGTCACGCTTACAATACATCGTACGAAGGAGAGTTAGCACTCACTGCCTGAGCAAGTTTCTTTCTTGTAGGGTCATATCCGTGAACACTGTCGGTGGTTCCGTTGGCCTCGTGTGACTGAGCACCGAAATAAGGCGTCCGATCGTTTCGCGTGTTTCCTCCTCGGCTCACACCGAAACCAGGACGACCTGTTCCGAACGTCTCGAGCCTGTGAGTTTGGACTAGACGAGTCGACGACGCCTTCTGGGCCACCGCTAGAAGACTCAAAGCTCGCGTCTATGTTCCGCGTTTCACCTTTCGATGAACTACAGCGGCCGCTACGAACTGTCCCAGTCAATCCACTGCCGCGTGAGTGTCGCGTGACATTCCGAAGGGGACCAGCGGGGCGCTAGGGCGCGTAGTCACGTGATTCGTTTGCGACACCAATATATATATATATATATATATATATATATATATATATATATATATATATATATATATATATTTAATTTAGGCGCGCGCCATGTAGTAGTTGCTCCGCCAATTGTTCGGATGGGTCATTGTTTGAGCACGAGCTCTGAGCGTGTATCGGACACTATAAGGCTGCGTGTGCGTTCAGCCCGAACTCGGTTCAGCTTGAGTCGAAAACGACTGTTGTGTCAGCGTTCGGCGAGGACTCGGATCCAATCACACACTTCATGCTCAACGCATGGATGGATGGATGGATGCTAACGGCTGTACACTTTGTAACGGGCGGTAGCTTGCGCCACCTAGCCTAAGTCTAAAAGGACAGACATACGGTTTCTCCCGCCCTTCTAGGACCAATTTGCTTTTCCTGACCATCACCAGGCAGTGTGGTATATCACCAAGATGACCTTGGCAATCAGGATGACCTTGGCAGTCGGCGAAAATGGCGACTGACAATGTTGCTCGATAAACTTTTTTTTAAAGGTTTATTTGCATTGGTTGTGCCACCCCGGCGGTACCGATAAAGGTGTATTATTTTGTAATGATTTTTCTTCCTCGCCCTAATTTATGGCTGGGATGGCTCGTATAGCGTTCGCGGCGGTCCGTAGAAAGGTGAAACGGAGTAGAACGGCCTTTCCCTCCGAGACCTCGGTCCATCCAACGAGGTGTATTCACGCGTGTGCGCGCTTTTCCTGGGTGCACCAGGCGACAGGTGCTAAGAAGGCGCCTCCAACGGGATCCGGTGGGAGCAGAGCGGTCGCAGCTGTGCCGGGCACGCCCCCGTGAGAATCTCCCTCGGGGACGCGTCGCCGTCGAGATTGGGCCGAGGAGTCGGTCGCCCGGAACGCGCGTTCTCCACTCGGACTCCGCGCGCACCGCTCGGGACGACCCGGGAGCGCAATGACCGACTGGCGACGAGAGGAGCGACGCGCCCAGCTTCCGTTGCGTGCTCTGCCGCCCCCTCGGTATCTTGCCTGTGCCCAGGGGCGGATTTATAGGCCAGGTTTGGGGGGGGGGGGGGGGGGGGCTTTTATAAAAAAGTGTTACGCCGCGGACATTTTTGACCTCACGGATCAATATAATTGTCATTGCACTATGAACGAGGCATTGCTTCATAAAATAAAACTGGTATTCGGCCCTTTTTTTTCTAGAAAATATTTCACCTTCCATAACGGCGACCGCCCCCCCCCCCCCCCCCCCCCCCTCCCTCGTGATTTCGTCCCTGCCGGTGCTACTACTTCTGAAAGTGTTGGGTCGCTCCCGCCGGCACGCACCAGTCTACGCGTTGTCCATCTTTGCGCGCACGTTTCGCAAACTCGGAGTTGTTCGCCAACCCGAACAAAGAGGCGCGTTCGGCTCAAGCGATAGCGGAGATCGGTTCAACGTATCTCCGCCACTCCGCGACTCTTTGCCCGTCGTGGATGGAGATGTACGGGGATGCCTACCTCGCACCTCCACCATGTGAAAATAAAGAGGGTACAAAAGAGAGACAGAAAAACGGAAGCGAAAGAAGCGAGCGAGATCGGGACTACGGCCGACGGACGATCGAGCGCGGTGACCCTTTTTCATTCAATAATAAAAGTACTGTAAATAAAATAGGTTGCTTAAATTAACGTTAACATCTTATATTTAAAAGCAACGATAGAGGCCGTGCCAGTGCATTGTACCTGGCGTGAGACGGTCGGGCTCGTCGTTTTCACATGCCTCAAAAAAAGAAAAAAAACAAAAAACTTAAACTTGAGGAAGAAAGCGAGAAAGGACGGACAAACACAAACTCCGTCCTTTCTCGTTTTCTTCCTCAAGTTTAACTATCCATACCAACCCGCTCGTTCTGTCCCTAAAAAAACTTCTTTGCAAAATTTGCCAAATTTGACTTCACGTTTCTCAAGTCCCGAAAGCTCAAATGGTGTCACGACGTCATCGTGATATCACGTGACCTGTCGGAACCTAAGAACCGTCAGATGACCATGTGACCCATAGTGGGGCCCAACGTTCGTGGCACCACGCATTATGCGTCACGTGACGTCACGGTGTAAACAATTAGAAACTTAAGACACACACAACACAAACTATTTTTTTTTTTTTAGAATAAATGTATTTCTTTTGCATCCTTTCAAGAGAGAGTGCGCGCGTCGGGCCAAGTCCAACGCCTCGCATTGCGACGTCCCCTCCACCTCCGCGAGGTTGTCCCTTCGGCCGTGTCGGACTCCTTGAGCCTGGGCCGCGGCGCGAAGGGCGCGCGGGGAAGGTGTTCCGCAAGGTCGCCCCGAGCTGCAGGGCGTCGTAAACTCACGGTGATCGGCATGCCGTCGGGCCCGCCGCCGAGAGCAGCCAGCGCGGGGAACAACAGGCTGCCGCGTGTTTGTTGCTGCTGCCTGGCGCGGCTAACTAGAGCAGCTCGAGACGAGGCGGGCCGCCCCTCTTCGTGACGACGGGGTAACACGGGGAGCTGCTTTGTTTCCGCGGAGACAGACCGGTTTCGCGACCTCGAGTCGGCCGCGTCAGGTTCCAAGCCCGATGCTCCGTGAAGCTGCGGTCGCCTTGGAACTTGTTGCGTAGACCGAGTCGCGCTCAGGACACTTTCGCCAGGAGTCCAATCAGATACCCGCGTCTTGAAAACGAAGGAGCTGGGACGCGGGTTAGTGCGGCGCTGAAACGCGACTTATCCGTGGCGACTGAGCGTAGTGTTTTACAATCCAAACAGCACAAAAAAAAAAAAAAACGCATGGTGCTTATTGAACTTTGCGCCCGAAATACCCACCCGAAGGGATCCAACGGGATCCTACTTGGACTCCCATAAGATTTCGTAGAAATCTCGCCAGGGAGTATACACCATTCCAATATTTACAAGCTCTCAACCGAGCGTGCGATCTTCTCAGCCCAGTACACGCATGTTCGTCGCCTCGGAAAGCGAGCAAATCACGAGCCATATATGCACGAACATTGAAAATGAAACCGGCCAGGAGCCCTTTTTTGGAAAGGTCTATGTAGTTTCGTAGTTTTTTCAGTGAAAGCTTACAAAAATGCTGCCATTGTACCAGCATTTGAATCTTCCATGAAGTAATAATTTTAGGCTACTGAAAATTATCCGAACACCTCGCACGAAATATAAATGGCTCGATTAAAGGAAGCTCGTTGAATTTGTCATTTTGTTGCTTTTGTAGCTCTTAATCTCTGCAATCACTAACAGGCTAAGAGCGACAGGGTCTTACCAGCCGCGGTAATCTCCTAGGAACTGACCGGTCAATGAGGTCACAATGTTTTAAATGACAAGTGGAAAACAATCGCACAAACGGCTAACCGCGGCGTAATCAGCATCGCCTCGCTTTTTATCAAGTATCAATACCCATCTTCTTCATTCGTCCCGCTAAGCCTCTTCTTCCTTCCTCGCCAGCGAAGTATTCTTTCTTTCTCCGCCAAACAATTTGAGCCAAAGCAGCGAAGGTTAATAAGCCCCCGACGCCTGCCACCGACAGCTCCTTGCGTTCCTCGACGAAAGAGGCAGTTCGGCGTGACGGTGGGCGCCTTGACCGCGAGACCGTTTCGGCATCCTCTGACTCAACGACTGGAGAGCTTCTCCGTCGCCTCCTCCGAGCGCTCTCGCAAGACCCGCGTTGGCCTCCTCGAAGCGTGACGCGCTCGGAGAGGAACTGCAGCGCACACTTTCGCCCAGAGTCTTCTCGGCTGAGACGAGGACGCTCCCGCGCCGTTGCGTGTCT